AACTGTGGTATTGGAGAAGACTCTTGAGAGTCCCTTGGACTGCAAGGAGATCCAACCAGTCCATCCTAAAGGAGATCAGTCCTGAATATTCATTGGAGGAACTGATGCTGAAGCTGAACTCCAGTACTTTTGGCCACCTCATGCAAACAGCTGACTCATTGGAAAAGACCCTGATGCTGGGAAAGATTAAAGGCAGGAGGAGAAGCGGATGACAGAGAATGAGATAGTTTGATGGCATCACCGACTCAATGAATATGAGTCTGAGTAAACTCCGGGAGTTGGTGATAGACAGGGAGGCCTGGTGTGCTGCAGTCCATGGGGTCGCAAAGAGTCAGACAGGACTGAGCACTGAACTGAACTGAACTGAATATATCCTTGGTGAAAAATGTATCAATGATGTTGATAACGAGGGATCAGGAGGGAGGCTCTCTGTGCATGTGTGGGGGCAGAGGGCATCTGGACAATCTCTGTATCTTCCTCTCAATTTTGTTGTAAACCTCAAACTGCTCTAAAAAATGAAGTATTTATTAAGGTAGATGAATATTACCTTTCTGTTATAAAATCAAACCAGAGTCAAAGGGAAAGTCCCCAGTAACTTTTCCCCACAGACTGTGCTCTCTCTACCCAGAGAAACCACACTGAATCATACCTCCAGGCTGCTCTATCTATTTGCCTGCTTATAAAGGAATATAGTTTTGCTTTCGGTTCTTAGTCTATATTCGGTCTTAAAACATGAATAAGCCAAACAGCAGGTATTCTTGTTCTGTCCTGGCTTTTGTTGTTTTTCTTTTTGACTTTTCATTTTTAACTTTTGATATTTTTCAACTCGTTGGGCCAACTTAATGCCTTTTTATTGCTCCACAGCTCTTCTGCAGCATGAAGGTAGCATTATTTATATAATTATGTGGGATGTTCTGTAGCTACAATGAACATGCTTGAGCCACCCGCGGTGTACACAGGCCAGCCTTTCTCTAGGACGGGTACCTGCGTGGGGACTAACGGGGTCAAAGGGCACGCCTATCTTTAGTTTTAACAGACACTGCCAAACAACTCTCCAAAGAAGCCATACCCGCATATTTGCATCAATAGTAAGTAAGTGTCTTTCATTTCTTCACCTTTTTTTTCTGGTAGTGAGTGTGGGTGACTTATAGGTAGAAGTGTCTTAAGCTGGAAAACATGCTTATTGACTGATTATGAGGTCATCTCAGGCAATTGCCTGCTTGCAGACAAGGATGGACATCCACACTGCCAGCAGCTTTCACCACTGTGCCCATTAGCCTGTAGGCGCTGACCCACCCAGACAGGCGTCTGTCAGTATTGACAGAGGAGATTTCTGTGTCTTTTAGCCAACAGTGGCCCCTACGCTGCTCTGCCTCTCTGAGAGTCCTAATGCCCAGGTCACATCACCCAGAGGAGGTGCTGAAGGCAAACAGCAGCGCCACAGGACCCGCAGGGAGATCAGAGCCCCCACCCCAGGGCCACCAAACACTCTGCATCAGACAAGGAGGACGGGCGGCAATACTCTAAAAAACCAAAATTAATGCAAGAGTTCAAGATGAACAGAATAGAAAAATTTCAAAGGAAAACACGGGCAGTGTTACTGATTTTTCCATTTTCCTCAGGCTTCAGTGTGTTCCATACATTAGTCATTTGTCATTTTAAGTGGATCTGGGACACACACACACACACACAAACACACACACACACACACAAACACACACACACATACACACATATACACATACATAAACACACACACACATACACACACATACACACATACACACACGCACAAACACACACACATAAATACACATACACACACACACACATACACACACGCACAAACACACACACATAAATACACATACACACATACATACACACATACACACACACACGAACAAATACACACACACACACACATGCACGCACAAACACACACACATACACACACATACATGCACATATGCACGCATACACACATGCACATACATGCACACACATACACACATACACACATACACATGACACACAGATACACACACATGCACAGATACACACACATACACACATACACACACATACACACATACACACAGAGATACACACACAGACACACACATATACACACAGACACACACATATACACACAGACACACAGACATACATGCACAGACACACACAGACACACACATGCACATACACACAGATACACGCGCACACACACATACACACAGAGATACATACACACAGATACACACACATACACACAGAGATACACACATACACACACATACACACACACACACACACACACACTGTAAAATCTTTGCCTGTGTGACTTTGGGAAATTTTCTGAACCCCTCTGAGACTCGGTTTTCTCCTTGTGAGTTGTCAAGGATTAAAGGACATAAAATATGTAAAATGGTGGGTGTTCAATAAACACCTCCCACTGTGGGTCCTGGGCTTCCCCGGCGGCACTAGTGGTAAAGGACCTGCCTGCAAATGCAGGAGAGAGACATGGGCTCAGTCCCTGGTTTGGGAAGGTCCCCTGAAGGAGGGCATGCAGTCCACGCCAGTATTGTCACCTAGAGAATCCCATGGGCAGAGGAGCCTGGTGGGCTACAGTCCCTTGGGTTGCAAAGAGTCAGACATGACTGAAGCAGCGCCCATGCCATGGGAACTAAGACCAGTACTCATGCCATTATTAGGCACCAGGACAGCCTCGCTGGTTGCTGCTTCCCCTCTCATCCTTGAGCCTGGTTTGGTCTCTAGACCTTTTCCTGGTGACCAAGTGACCCGTGTGTAGACTGCAGATTGCTAACAGGAAGAATAAACCTTGCTGTGCACTTGCTTTGAACTGTGTCCTGGGATGGGCACTTTCATGCAGTATGTCAGTTAATCTGCACAATAATTCTTTGGGAGGCATTGATGAGAAAACTGAAGCTCAGAGAGGTTAAGCGACTTGCCCAGGGTCACAGAGTGAGCCAGTGGCTGAGCTGGGCTTTGGGCCAGGTCTCTTTAAATACAAATACACGGTCCAACGTTTATATCCCTCTGAATGGTGTCAGTACGATAAAGAAAGAGCCTGGTTAATACAGATCCCGTGGGCAAAGACTCCTTCAAATTCCCTGCCTAATCATCACCCAAACTCAAACAGCAGGTTTTGTTCCTGATTCAGCCCAGACCTACTGCCTTCAGGGGGTGTTGGTTTCTCTTGCACAAGTCCCAGAGCCCTCAGGATTCCCTCTCCTGAAGCCAGGTACCCACTGCCCCACCTTCTCTCCCTGCCTCCCAGCTCCCCACACAACGCACCCCCACCCAGATGACACCCAGGTTGATAATACCACGACCTGATTCTGTTCACCCTCATCCTGGCCTGCTTCCAGGCCCACCACTGCTTTCTGCCTAGGATCTACAGGCTGGTCTGCACACAAACGAAGGCTGGGCGTGGGTGGCCCTTTTCAGAAGCACTTTGGCTTCTGTGCTTAGAGCTTTTGGAGACCTCTCCGGGCCCCCCAGCCACTCTGCTTTGCCGGGTCCAGGGGTTAAAGGCCCCTGACTAGGCCAGGTCAGGCCCCGGGTACCAGTTGGTTCCTGGGGAGGAGAGGTGGAGAAGGGAAGAGAGTCTGTTCCCAGAAGGTCACACCCCACTGTCAGATTCCCTCCCAAGAATCTGGCCCTGTCTTCCCATCTGTCCTTCCCCCAGCTTCACTTCCCGAACAGCGTTTGTCATCACTGGGAGAATCACCGCTGGCTGCCTCCATGAACCCACAAATCACCTTCCTGCCATCGTTTGGCAGGGGGAGTGGTGGGAGTCAATAACTCCGTTTTCCGTCACTTGCCCCCCTCACCCCTTCACCACCCAGGGCCAGGAGCCTTCGCGGGCGAAGTTTGCACCACATGTCATTCGTCCAACCTGCCAGAAGATCTTAGCATTGATATGCCCTCTAGTGGATTTTTAAAAACCAGAGTCACACCCACGCTGAACAATGATCAATTAATTCTGGCCATGTCCACGGGGTCCCAGCGCCGAAGCTATGCCATTGAAGGTAGGCAGCCACCTGGCCAAGCAGAGCTTCTCCCCTGACCTATAGCCTGGGTGTTGGGAGCAATAATTGCCGTTAACAAGAAGCATTTCCTCGGGAACTGATGCCATTGGCCCAGCCAGAAGTGGGGTCCCTTCAGCCCACACCCAGCCTTCTCCTCTGGAGAGCCTGGAGAGCCTACAACACTCAAAACTCACTGCAGTATCTGCTTTGCTTCAGTGCTTCTCCTGGTTACGCCCTGCCCTCATCCAGGAGACCGGCCCCTGCTTTAGGCTCAGGCTGCCCTCTTGCTAGCGTTGCTAACTGCTTCCAGCAGTTTCTCTGCCAACGTGTGAATTCCCTCTTCTCATCTATCTCAGGGTTTCTTACCCGTGGCACCCCTGACATCTCAGTCCAGCTAATCCCTTGTTGCAGGGGGCCATCCTGTGCCCTGAGGGGTGTTCAGTACCTTCCTGGCCTCTACCTACTAGATGCTGTAGCATCTCTCCATTTGTGACGACTGAAAGCATCTTCAGACAATGCCAAGTCTCTCTGGAGGGGAGGAGGGGAGGGAGAGAGAAAACCACCACCCACTGAAATTCACTAGCCTATGGGCACAACTTTTTGTGGATCTGGGCTAGGATCTGAGGGTTCCAGAAACACCCCTCCCCACCCATGTGACCAGGGATTAGTCATCTCCATCTCGGGGGCTGGGAGGCCAGGCCATTTAACCTCCATAGTGTCCTATGAAAGTGCATCCTCCCAGGCAGGCTCAGACCTTGGCTCAGGCGGCGGCATTTCACCTGCTGCAGCATACGGTGTGAAGCTGGGGGTTGAGGGGGAGCAGGGCAGAAAGCAGGGTGCTAGGGAGGATGCGAGGAGCGGCAGGGGCTGCGGGGACTGGATGCCATGCTCCATCAGGCTCTGCTGCTCGCGGACATTCTCTTTCATCCTTAGAGGGTCCCGGGGATGCAGACCTCCCTACACATTAGGTGTGCGGCGGCGCTCTGTCTGCAGAGCGGCCGTGGGGGAGAGCCGTCCATCCTCGTTTTGGAGATGAGGCCAGTCAGCTGTGCGGAGGGCCGGTCACCCGAGGGGCCCACCCCGGCCCCTCCTGTCCTGCGCCGCGGAGACGTGTTGCCAGCGCGTCAAGCGCCCACGCAGGGCGGAGGCGGGGGTGGGGAGCAGCGTTCCCACAGGTGAGAAATCTGGGCGAGTCCTTGGCCTAGTTTCAGAATCCGCTTCAGGGGTGTCCCCACTGGGGCGCGGAGCGCAGGCGGCCTAGATTCCTTCTGTTCCTGTAACCCAGTTCCTCAGTGAACGCCCCGCGGCCGCTCCATGCAGACCCGTCGGCCTGGGAGGCGTCACTCCCTGGAGGCAGAGCAGCCCTGCTTCCTCCAGCGTGTCCTCAGGTCGCCCGCTCCTGGCTCTTCATGGAGCGGGGCAGGCCGGCCTGGAGGCCGAGCAGAAGGCCGAGGCCGCGGCTCCCACGGCGGCAAGGTCGGGGAGCCCAGCGCTGGGCCGGGCGCGCGGGGCCTGGGGTGGCCCTCGGTCAGGAAGGCGGCCTCGGCCAGCAGGCCCCCTCCCTGGGGCAGCCCTGCGCCTCTGCCCCCCCAGAGAGGCCCACCTGGCCCCTGACCTCCCTCGGAGACGAGCGGAGGCAAAGGTTACTCGGGGCTCTGAGACAGAAGTTCAGCAATTGCAGAGCCCCTGCGAGCCCCCAGCGGCGAAGCGGGCCAGGGCGGCCAAGGCTGTGGATGTTCACCTTCTTCCTTCCTTTGGGCCAAGGCTTTGACACCTGGGCCCAGAGCAGGTGGGTCGGGAAACGGTCCTGAGCAACCCACAGGCGGAAGCTCTCCGGCTCTCTAGAACGCTTTCTCCACGTTCGAGGAGCCACACTCAGGCGGGGACGGATCATCCAGCGTGGCTCCAATGAAAGAAGACTGATTTCCAGTGAAGAGCAGACAGACGCGGCTGTGACATTTCTGGCCTTCCAATCTCCGTCTGGGCTTCCCATCCCTGGAGAAAGAGCATGAGGGGCTGGGGGCCACACAGAGAAGGGAGCTGGCGGGTGGGGAGAGACTGCCTCCAGATGTGCCCAGGTGAGGGGCGCCCAGGCAGCCCCAGACTCTGGCGGTGAAGGGGCACAGAGGCGGTTCTTTCTCCTCTCCTCTGTGTAAGCTTGGACAAGCAGGCTGTCTGTACTGGTGAGCAGGGTTGGATCCGGTCCCGGGACAGGCTGCAAGAGAAACCAGGCACGCTCGCTGCCCTGCAGACAGGTGTGGAGGGGTGTCCCTTCCAGTCGGAGTCAAAGGCCTGGAGCACTGGATCTCCTCCTCCTTGCAGGATGCCACCCACCTAGACGGGGCCCCAGCTGTGGGTACATCCAGTCACCTCTGATGGCCCACCAGGCGGTGGGGCTGAGAAGTTCGGCACGTGGAGTCAGGATGACTTCAGCTTGAGTCCAGGCTCCTCAACCCGACACATCCAGGTGGCTACAAATCTTCCCTATGACCTTGGGTGTGGTATTTAGCCTCCTTCGGTCTCCTCTGTAAAAATCCTGCCTAGAGCATAAGCTGTTTGGAGAACTTAATGAGGTGGTGTGTGTCAAAAGTAGGGGCTAAGACACCCCTTCTCCCAGCTCCATGCAGGCCAGATAAAGACTGAGTAAAGAGCTGGGGAGGGTGTGAGGGTCAGGGAGCCCCCAACATCACAATGTAATATCCCAGAGGGAGGAAAATGGTAACCCTAGGAAATGAGGTACGGTTTATCAATAGTAGATGAAATTCACCCCCTCTTTTGAGGCTGTGCTGGTTAAAATCGCAGCTCAAGAGAGCATATGAAAATAATGGAAAACTCTGAAATAACAAATGCCACCCCCGGCAAGAACATCACTCACAAGGCCAGATGGTCTTGGCCCATCCCATCCCCTGACCATTGCTTTCCTTCTTTGCTGACATCCTGGCAATACACAGGTTTGTTTGAATAAGCCTGGAGCTCTAGGGAATGTGAAGGTGATTCCCAGTGTCCTAACTCTGATAAGGAAAAAAAAAACAACAGACCCCCACCTCTCGCCAGCTCCCACCTTCCACACACAGAAACCTAACCTGGGTCCAGGGGACTTGCTGACAGAGGAATCAGGCTGTGACAAAGAAGGAATTTAAGCCAGCACTGAAATACACACACGCACATGGCGAAGAGTGCCTTCACCACCTGGCTTTCTGCTGGCAGCACTGCCATGTCTCCTACCATCTGGACGGTGGGGAGAGAGTATCCAGGAAAGGCTGATCCTTGGTGGGAGAGTCTGAGAATTACTCTGTAAGGTGAGCCTGGGGCCTGGCCTTGGGAAGCAAGAGGAGAGCCATTTCAAGATGAGACAGCTTGGGCAGGGGACTCATCAAGGCCATTTGGGCAGCAGGACCCAGCCCCTACTAAGTTCATGGGCTCTGGGGGTTGCTCACATGAGCGAGGCATCACCCTGCCTGCCAGGAGCCTCCACTCCAGTGAAAAACACCTAGAGGTCACCTTAATGTCCTCTATAAAAACAAAGGCAGTGGGGGAGGGGAGTGTTTTCCAGGAACAGGAAACCCAGCAGTCACCCCCAGCCCTGATCTGTGTATAGCTATGTCTTTATCCACATAAGGTACACATATCTCATAATCACTTGTTTTATATTACTTTATTCTGCTTTTGCAATTAGTAGCTCAAGCTATTGTTGCCTCAACAGAAAGAATTTAGCACCTCTTTCTTGACACCTGAGCCCCGAGTTTCCTGAGAATACTGGATTTACTCAGCCCAGAGGACACAGCCCCCATCTAAATTTTCCAGCAGAGGAGCCATCACTGTTAGCGCCTTCTGCCCCGAGGTGTGATCACTGAGGATGGGTCCGTGGGAGGGCGATGTGCTTGCTGGTCCAGGCCCCAGGCCACACCACCATGATGTCTGCGTGACCTCCAAGACAATTCTTTGCAATTCACACTCACTCCCTCTCCAGCCCGCCTTGCCAAGTCAGCCACTCCCTGCACTGGGGAAGCTTGATCACTGCAGGCCACAAGCTCTGGGGATGGGCCCTGAAGCCAAGGTGACCTAAGGCCCCAGGATAGACTCTGTTTTCTTAGAAAGATTTTGTTTAGAGATCTTGTCACTTCTCTGGACATTGGACTTGGTTAGAACCACTTTACTTTGAATTTAGGGGAACAGGGGATGGCATAACAGTCCTTTCTCTTCTCAGAACGCCCTGGGCATCTTAGAAAATTAATCTGCCTTCTCTCAGCAATCAAATCTGCATAAAAGAAACCCCAGGTCCTTTTTTCCGCCCTGTCCCAGAACAATGGGTGTCCACTTGCTAATATCTGTAAGATGGGGGAGGGGACTTTGCGTACGTCTGTTCCCTAAATAATGATGGGCTGAGCCAAGGTGATTTGTGGAGCCTGGGGGTAGGTTTGAGAGGGGCTGGCATAATTTCTGAACATCCCCACCTCTACTCGAAAAGAATTACACAACAGGATTATATAAAGTTGTGGTTTTTTGTTGCCCCTAATTCTGTAAACCACCCCACCCCCTACCTCTAGCTAACTCCCCCAACCCTGCCCTTACCCCAGTGTAGTATCTTTAGACCCCTCCTTTAAAAAAAAAAATACAAATTCCAACTGCCCTGTTGTTCTGGAAGAAGTAGTCCAACCCATGACCAACTCCATCAGCAACTGTAAGAGTCTGCCAGGGCGGCCATAACAAAGAACCAGAGTCTGGCGACTTAAACAACAGAATTCTATTTCCTCATAGTCCTGGAGGCTACAAGTCTACAGGACACAAAACCAAGGCATTGCCGGGGTTGGGTTCCTTGGAGACCTCTCTCCTTGGCTCGTAGATTAGGATCCACACCTATGACCTCATCTTATCTTAATCACCTCTTTGGGGCCCCTGTCTACAAATACAGTCGCCTTCTAAGGTACTAGGGGTTAAGACTTCAACTGAAGGGGATATAATTCAGCCCATAGCAGTAATCTAGCCAAATCTCACTAGAGTGAAAATCCAGGGCAGGGATTTGTACCTGGTACGTGACAGGGGCTCGATGATTGTTATTTGAATGAGTGAATGAATGAATTCAGCTACTGAGGAACCTAGCACTTCATACCCCGTAGTGTGGTGCGGTCACTCCTGGGCTTAACTCACCTCCACCGTGCGGAAGATGCTTCTGTACAGGCCCGTGTTTGCTCCATCTCAGATGTCCTCACAGTCCCTAGGACCGGGCCTTGCTCACATGCACCAGGACGCATTCAGCCCTTGGCTCCTTGGCTTGCTACTGGACACCTGCCTCTGAGCCATTCACTCAATTCTCAGCTTCTCTCCTGTGAAACTGACCCAATCCCCGCCCCTCAGGGCCCTTCAGAGGTCTGGCTGAGATCACTTCGTAAATATCTTTTGTAAACTCCGATGTGCTTTTTACAAATGTTAGCTGTCATTCTCGGGTATTTTGTAGCAGGTGGTTTTCCCAGTTACTGTGGCTGCTTAACAAATTACTCTAACATTTAGTATCTTGAAACAACAACGACATGTATTTTGCTTACAAACCTGCAATTTGTTAGGACTCAGGAAGGGCAGTTCATCTCTGCTTCACTCAGTGTCCGCTGGAGCAGCTCCAGGGCTGGTGACCAAAAGCATATGAAGACTTGCTCACTCGCTCGTCGCCCTGGCAGCTGATGCTGGCTGCCAGCTAAGATCTCAGTGAGGCTGTCAGCCACATCATTCCCACGTGGCCTTTCTGTGTGGCCTAAGCTTCTGTGCAGCATGATGCCTGGACTCCAAGTCAGAGCATCCCAAGACAGCCAGGCAGACCTATATTGCCTTTTACGACCCAGGTTAACAACACCTCTTCCTCCCTCTCAAGAAAGTGAAAGCTGCTCAGTCATGTCTGACTCTTTGTGACCCCATGGATTATACAATCCATGGAATTCTCCAGGCCAGAAAACTGGAGTGGGTAGCCATTCCCTTCTCCGGGGGATCTTCCCAACCAGAGATCGAACTGGAGTCTCCTGCATTGCAGGTAGATTCATTACCAGCTGAGCTACAAGGGAATCCCTCCCCTTCCTCTATATTCTTTTAATTGCATGCGTGCTAAATTGCTGCGGTCGTGTCAGTCCTGTCCGACCCTTTGCAACCCCATGGATTTAGCCTGCCAGGCTCCTCTGTCCATGGGATTCTCTAGACAAGAATACTGGACTGGGTTGCCATGTCCTCCTACAGGGGATTTTCCTGACTCAGGGATCAAACCCCAGTCTCCTGCATTGCAGGTGGATTCTTTACCACTGAGTCACCAGGGAAGTCCATTCTATTATTTAGACACTTGCAAAGGCTCAAGGGTAGGGGAAATAGACTCTGCCTTTTGATGAGAAGTTCAATATTCTGGAAGAACATGTGAGCCTTTGGGGAGAGGCCCACATGTTCTGTGGCCATTTTGGGAGAATACCGTCTGCCACAGCACTTGATTACTTTTTGAATGAATGAAGGAACCTTTCCTTATGGCCTTACAGCAACGCCCAAGGCTCCCAGAGCACAATCTCATGCTGTGTATCTTTCCTAACTTGCTTGCTCATTTAAAACTTACCCACTCCCATCTCAGTCTATCAGAGCCCCAGGCTTTTCAGATGAAGTGTAGGGATAATAGAGGAATAGATAAACCAATGCCTGACACTGGCTTAGCTGGGAACACCTGTCAGGTCGTAGAAGGCTGTCCCTTTCCCACAGCTAACACATCTAGAAGGCCCACCCCTGGGAACCTCAGGGAGAGGAGTGGTC